CCCAAAACAAAACAAAGCAAAATGTTGAGTTGGTAAGTTCAGTTTAATAAGTTGTGACAAAAATGACAAGAGAAAGTAAGTAAAGTTCTTCTTGTAAAGGTCACTTGGAAGAGATAGAATATTCTCATTTTAAATGTATTTAATCTTTCAGAACACCTACACCAATGCTGACAAGTTACTAGAGGCTGCAGAGCAGCTGGCCCAGACCGGAGAGTGCGACCCAGAGGAAATTTACCAGGCCGCCCACCAGCTTGAAGACCGCATCCAGGATTTTGTGCGACGTGTCGAGCAACGTAAAGTGCTGCTGGACATGTCCGTTGCCTTCCACACACATGTCAAAGAGGTGTGTGTCCCTCTCCCTGCTTCAACTTGTCCTGTTTGCAGCATTGATTTCACTCCTGTGTTTTGCGTATTGCTAGAATTTAATGCGACTAATACAGTAAGAGGACAGTGTGTATAAAAATGATGCAATGATGTTTATTCTGTATTAAGAAACATATTTTAAACTGAGTTACCTGTCTTCATATTTTTGTCGCAGCTCCAGCTGAAATGCAATAAACTCCGCAGGCTAACTTTGCTCTGGCAGTTTTCACATGCAGGCTATGTTGAAAAGCCGTAGCAATTTATGTAAAGTGTGTTTGTATAAATGCATCAGATTGGTTCCAGATGTGTTCCTGCAACAATCATTATGCTGTTTGTAAAAAACAAAGAGTATAATTTTCTTTTGCCTCTTTACTAACCATTCACACGCCATACAAGGGTAATCTGACCTCATCTGCCTTCTCCTTGACTTTGATTAAGGCAGGCGGGTCTTTAGGTTGTCTTCTTAAGCCTTTAGGGAGCTGCAAAAATGCATTTGTGCTAAGCACTCCTTGACATAACTCTTTTGTGCATCTTTGACTGTCAAAATTAACCTTCCCAGACGGAAAAGCAGTGCTCTCTGCATGTGTTAACACTACATCCTGTTTACATAGACTCATAGACAGTCAGAGCCTAGGTATTATTAATGAAGCTAGTCTTTAATGCCCATATGGACTAATCTCCTTCATCCCATCTGTCAGCTCACAATGATAGCAGTACGCTATCTTTGTGAGCGCACATGCATTTCTGAGCATGTGTGTGTGTGTTTGTGCCACTATGATTCTTTTCTCTGCATGCATATGTTTGTACAAGTGAATGTTTCCAACTCTGCTGCCCATCACTTCTTCAAGTGCTGCAGAATCCTTTGGATGCAGTCCAGTGTGATAGAGGGCAAATTTACTGTGATGACAGGGCATGAACTGCTTTGTAAAAGAAGCAGTTTACCTGTTTTCCATGAAGCTAACTGATCAGAAGGCTCGGACTAATAAAAGTAGCCATCTTTATTTAATCAGAAATTCTCAGACAAGGGCTTTGACAAAGAGAGAAGCATTTGTTTTGAAAAATTAGTCGCTCACTTGATCTCACTTTTCACACATTTTTAATGGTCTGTGTCAGTATGGAAACCATGTAATATGTAACATAGTTAACGCAGTGAACAGCATCAAAAGTAGGCATGTTTTTGTGTTGGCAGCGTGGGTGTTAGACAAACAATGGGTGCCAGGGTCTCTCCCCTGCAGCCTGGACCGTATGCCAGGGCTTCAGTACCCTGAGCCAATTCACCCAGATGGCTAATCTGTTACAAAGATGACCATTCACAAAACACCAGCTTTGAAAAGAACTGGTTGGATTTGATTTGTTGTTGATTTCTGTCTCATATCTCATGTCTATCCATTTGGCAGCTTGTCTGTTTATTCTTAGATCTCTGGTTAGCTCACACCACTATATGCACCACCCTCAAACATGTGTCTGCAGATTATTGTGCTTTTTTTCTCTACATTTGAACTGGCTTTTTTTTCTTTGTCGATCACACTTAGCTGTGGACATGGCTGGAGGAGCTTCAGAAAGAACTGCTGGATGATGTTTACGCAGAGTCAGTCGAGGCAGTCCAGGATCTGATCAAGCGATTCGGCCAGCAGCAGCAGACCACCCTGCAGGCAACAGTCAATGTTATAAAGGAAGGAGAGGACCTCATACAACAGCTCAGGTGATCATTTATTAGTATTATTACATTTTTAAATGCCTCACTAAAGTCTGAATATTGTAATATTCAATGTACATCTGATCATTTGTCACATTTGCCATCTGGAGATGGCCTTGGGTTACACATATTTTCCAATTATTCAACGATCACGTGTTCATGAGATAAAAGGAAAACAAGAAGCGCTGATAGAAGTATACACTGGGAAAAATGGGTGAGGGTGATTTCTAAAAGAATGACTTGACAAAAATTGGGAACAAAGTCCTCTCCATTTAACCCCTGCTTACAGAGACTCTGCCATCTCAAGCAACAAGACTCCGCACAACAGCTCCATGGCCCACATCGAGAGCGTGCTGCAGCAGCTGGACGAGGCCCAGGGCCAGATGGAGGAGTTGTTCCAGGAAAGGAAGATCAAACTTGAGCTCTTCCTCCAGCTCCGCATCTTTGAAAGGGACGCAATTGACGTAAGTAGGCGGAAAATAGAGGGTTGGTGTATGATGCATATTTATTTTTAAAAGTGAGAGTGAGGAAGACAGAACAGGAAACACCAGAATAGTAGAACTCGTGATCTTTAGATGTAAAAGCGAAGACAGAATGTTTCAAATATCCAAACTGCAGGAAGGTGTTTTCAATGAAAAGGGAGAAATTAAGGTGTACAGCAGGGACCAAAACGACTAAAAGTTTGGACATGAAAAACAAAGTGCTACACATGTGATACGCTAAGAAAGAAATAACAGAATGTATCATATCAGCCAATTTGTTTTTTCTTACTGGCTGTTGAAAAGATCAATTACATGTGACAGCGGGTTTACTGGCAAACCAAAATGACTGTGACTGTGAGCTGATGGACCATTACAGCGTGAAAGGAAGATTCAGTCCTGGAGTGAGGATTCCAGCTGGTTGAAATCTCGGCTAAATTCACAGTCATACTCACACGTGCGCTACATTAAAAAAGTGTTTAGTTCCACTCGATGAATCTCATCCACTGACTCGCTCCAGTTATGTCTCCCCCTCCCCGGTCTGCAGTTTGCTAATTCCTTAGCATCTTGCTGTGAGAGTGAACGCTGTACTCAGCTGGTGCTCAGAAATGAGGGCTGCTCTTAAAAAAAAAACAGAAAGAAAGAAAGAAAGAGAGAAAGAAAGCATTGCTTTTATTTTTATCATGACTATCAAATTAGATTTGTTGAGCCATACTGTGCTGACAGAAGAATTACACTCAGGCACTTTAGAAGCAAACACACTGAAAAGAGATGCAGGCTTGTATTAATAAGAATCATGTAAGTAAGAAGAAGAGATGGAAAGTGGAAAGTCATTATTGAGGACATAATGAATATATTAATCTGGGAAAATGGTTTTCAATTATAAACTCATCACTTGTGGTTTCTGTGGGTGGTAAGTTTAGTGTTTTTGGTCCAGAATAAAAATAGCTTAAACAGCTACTCCATAGAGAACCAGCACTCATGGTAAATGGATGACTTTAACTTGGTTTGGTGATCCTGCGATAATGATGATGATGATGATGATGATGGTAAGTGGAAAGCCCACAGAATGAGTCTCCTGATTATCTCTTGGCTTTACTTTACACTCATCAGCCACTTTGTTAGGTACAACCTACTAGTACTGGATTAGACTTACTTTTGC